CGGGAAATCCAGGGCTGGCTGACCTGGCCTTGCTGTAATTTTAATGACCGATCTCTGACCGTAGCTTTGGGAATTTGGGATTGGAAACTTGGAACTTGTCAATCCCGGAACGGCACCCGGCCGCGCGGACCGCTGTAAGGATTTCATAGCTGTGACCAGAACCAAGGACCAGGCTCAAAAGGTCCACTACAGCGAGATTGCTCGGGATGAAGGATTTCAGGTGTCAATTAATTGAATTGCAGTGAAAATTCCTTGTGCCGAGGTGGAGTTATCTTGGGTAACGTGAGAAGAATTCTTCCATGGAATCTTCCCTGTCAAAAAATGGAAGGCCAATCTTGTGGGCGAGTAATGTAAAGTTGGTGTTTCCCCAGACCGGCATTATACGGAAAAGAATGGATCGTGGGAGTGGCTTGAGTGAAGAAAAAAATAAGTGGCGGTGGAAACACAGAGATAAGGTAAGGAAAACTGTGGTTTGCCATGACGAAGGTATCGCAAACGGCGCAAAAGGCTCGGAGAAAAAGGACCCTGATACCCATATCTGACTCATATCACGAGTTATTCCCGCCGAAGCTGCAGCTGTAGTGCACCTCATCCTTCGGTTGATCACCGAACAACTTGACCGCCCGGAGCCTTTCTTCTTCTCAGCGGGCATGGCATGAATTGCGTGCTGCCTCACGGATAAAGGTGGAGTGAAGCGGGAATACGCAGGGCCTTTTCGGCGTTGCCTTCACGCTGTCGTTGGTGCAATTGAGGACGAGAACCACTGGAGCCACTGTATCTCCAGCGATCAACAAGCTAGAAAGCTACTGTGAATCCAGATGGCCAAACATATCCATTATCTACAGGGTTCACTACGGGCCAGACCGTTAATCATGAACATCACTTGTATCCGATCAGCAGCAGCTCTGTCTGATAAGCAGATCTATCAACGTTCTGGGCTGCTCGGCTAGGAGCAAAAGCCCCTTTGTGCAGCTGCTGCGACAACTCTAGACTCTTACAGCTGTGTTTCGCTTGGGGGGCTCGAACTGCAGATCATTTCTTAGCCAGAGTGCGGAGAAGCTCTTGAAGCTGTCTCACCCATCCTCAGGCGAGCACATCCGACAGCTCAAGCTCACCAATCTGATGTCTTCCGACTCACAAGCGACAGCGCTAGATTCGAATCACAGCTCTGAATGCACCCTCGCATACGTGCTGTTGCTATCTGAGTTCTCCTGTTTCCGATATGTCAACAACCTCTCCCTTTGACTCGACCAGGGCGAGACAAGCGCCGAGGGAGAGTCAGTAGTTCAGCCGAGCGCCAAGGCCTTTCGGCGAGGGGTAAAACTTTCATAGTCAAGGAATTAAAAACGGAGTCCAATTGAGGCTGTAGAAAGGCCGAAAGGATTACGGAAGGGAGACCGCCACAAGGTGGAGAAAACGCCGCAAAAGCGGCTCCGACTGTGGATGCGGGTCTCCGAAGAATGCGCCGGCGTATCGCATGTGGAGAGTTTGAGAGAAATATCAAAGTCTTCACCAGGTTTAACCCGTTGCCAAACGTAAGCGAAACTGTATTGCTTTGTGTAACTGGGGTAAAATTAAGAAAACTCTTCACTCTTTTCGCTCTATCCAAGATTCTTGCTTCTTCCACCGGATTTTGAAATTGAATATTGTGCCCAATGCTAGGTTAGGATTAAACCCTGCAGCTGTACCACCGAGATTCCTACCGGCCAAGACATCGCGGAGAAGAAATACAATGCCGTGATTGGCTACCGATATCGATATCCATGCCAGCTAGCGGTGAGAGGGACGAGCTGCGATTCGTGCGCTCAAGCAGCCTGGACGAAAGGGGAAACTTGCTGGTACATGACTCCTGGGGGAGCTGTTCAAGGTTTGTAGGCTAAACGGGCATGCAGGGTAAAAGAATGCTTGGTCCGGGATTGAATTCTATAACCCTAGTGGGAAGTTGGAAAGAGGAAGAACCTTTGAACTCTACTAAGCACCCCCTGTGCCCTAGGGGATATTGGGGGTTGATGTTTCTGGTAGCCTGGAGTTTGGGTTGACAACTTCTAGATTGGGAGGGGAAAAGGGAATAGGTTGCGATAAGACGCGATATTAGGTAGGCTTCGGCGGGTAAAAGGCCGAGAGGTCGGAGGAGAGAGTTTCAAACCGTATAGGCGTGGTTGTCTGTCTATCGAGGATGCATATGCATATGATATGATTTGGTTTGATTCGTTGTTTACTACTGTATGGCTGTTGTTGTTTATGCCGTTGACCGGCGGTGAAATTGAACTATCTCGGCTTCCGCAACTTTAGTGGTTGATGGCGCAGATGGATCGGACAGTCGCTGCAAGATGGTACCCCAACCGATTGATAGATGACTCTTCGGATGGTCGCTGATTGACTGTGGGTGGTAAAACAATTACCCAACTACGAACGAATGCTACAACACCACGAAGCACGTATCCAGCAAATAGAAATGAGTGCCCTTTGCGTCAAGGGAGCGGTCAGTGATTGCGAAATGCAAGCTGTTCCCTACCTGCATTGGATCGCATCTTGTCTTGGCCCTTGCTTGGAGAGAAGACCAATCCAGCAATCCCTCAATCCTGTGAATGCCCTCCCCCTCTTCCCAAGTAGGAAAAAAGAACAACCAGAGTGAGTGAGTGTCAGCCAGCCCTGTGGGATGCATGGTGTGGTGTGCGGCTATCAAACCTGCTCTTGCCCGACGCGACGGGAAGGTTTGGGCGCTGAGCTATCTCGGGACAACGTATGCCAGGGCAGCAGAAGCAGAAGCAGCCCGAGGATCGACCGCGGCCAGGGACCGATTCTGGGTGTGTTGGGCGCTGGAAGAATGGGAAGACGGGCCTGGAAGGGAGGGACAAGGCCTGTGCGTGGGGGAGAAAACGGAACGGAAGAGGAGAGAGGAAACTTGAGAGACATCCTATGCACAAAAAGCAACCAAAGACAAACGCATCAATGATCAGATTCGATAAATTACAAGACAAGACAAGAGATGAGACAAACTCCGAATGAATTCAATCATATTCCGAACCGTAAGCGGATGGCCTTTGATCCGAATAGAAAAAAGGAATGAATCATCTACGATCATTCATGGAGGAACGAAAGCGACGGGACTCTCTCACTCGCTCGCTACAGGCTACAACAGCACCAATGAAGCATCAATACCTCGGGATGATGAGTGATGAATACGTTCATTCGTGTCGCAAAGTATCACATCACATCGTATCCAATTCGCAAGCGATTGCTGCGCTGCGCTGACCTGCCGTAATCACCTACGATTACATTATACGGTGGTGAGTAATCCAGTTGGTCAGCCTGGGCGGTAAATCAATCCATCTGGCTGTGCTCTATTACAGCTTGTGACTCTACTGATGACTGTGACTTGTGTCCCATTGCCGCCGCGCAGCCCGTGATTTGGTAAGTTGACCCGCGGGAGGGAGGCTGTGATCCAGGCGACGGCAGCGAATCGCACACGGTGTAATTGGTATTGTGGTTGCTATTCGTAGGTTTTCTGCTTTTGGCTTTTTGACTTTCACCTTGGGAATCTGGAGGAGGCGTTTTTTCAACCCCGGATTACGAAAAGCCACAGGGCAGATGAGACCAAGCCAGCTTGCTTGGGGACAAGCAAATCAGACAAACAAGTTTGATGTGTCTTGGATGAGAGCAGATTGTCTTGGACGATGACGGGATTCACCCAATACGGTTTGTGAGTCTTGTCTTGTGTTATTGTTGATTTGGACGTATCAGTGAATGAAATGCAATGCTGTGATCCATATGAAAAGGCCTTGCTTATCTCACCGTCTGTTGGGGATTTACTTTGCACAGGTTCTATTTTCACAAAGCAAGTTACTTTACGGACGGCACAGCTCTCAGCTCGTCACCGCAACACGAGTGCATACAGACAGTGCAGCAACAGTCAGTCAATGCTGGTAACCATCCATTACGAGGCTTATCAATTTATGCTTTGCTGCTGTTCCTATCAATAGCAAACAACAACACAACGCAGCGCAACGGTGAACAACAAACTTGATTTCTGGAAGACTTCGGCTTCGTCTTTTGGAGCTTTACGGCACGATCTCGGCACATTCAACGATTTGACCCGAGCGCGATAAGTCATTCTCTACTCTACTGTACCGTACTCTATTCAAAGAGCTCAAGAGTCTTGGCGAATTCTTTGATTGATAGAGAAGAGATCTGGATACCGAGTTGGCTACCCGCTCGGCCACGCCCCCCCATTTCTCGACTCAACCGCCATTACCAGAGCCTTCAGAGGCCTTCAGAGTCTCTGACTCTTCCATTTCTCCCCACGGATCCGCTTCGGCCACCCCATCCCCCAAGAATTACCAGTGACAGGCGTTGTATCCGCTCCGCCCGTCCACTTAGCCGCCTCTGTATCGCCCTGATTTTCCCTTCCAGCTCTCTCTGACTCGAATTTCCCACCGCTCTTTTCATTTCGCCACGCCCCCCCTCTCGTCTCTTCTTCACCTCCTCTTCTCCCGTCACCTCGTTCCGACACCCCCTACACCTCGGTCGGGATCAATCCGCAGGCTGAATTTCAGCAGCAGCAGCAGCAGCAGCAGCAGGAAGCCTAAACGACAGGGCAGCTGGCAGCGATACCTCATTCTCTTCCCGGCGACCGAACTTGAGGACCCTTGACCCGCACTCGCACCTGTTCTCGGTCGCACCCCCAGGCCAGGTCCTCTGTCACCTACACCCCACGCCCCTATAGTAAATCATCCATTCCACACCCAGCCCGATCTTTCTTCTCATCTCACACGCCCCTGGCCTCCCTTAGCCAGCTGCCTGGCTGTTCTGCTTCATTCATTTATATCAACCCGCATCCCCAGGTTTTCATCCCAAGGATCCATTTATCTGTCGTCCACAAAACAACAACATTAAGCCAAGTGATCACCACTTACACTTGCTATTTAGCAACAGCTACAGCTCTTAGAGCTTCAGTCACGACCATCACCTCGCCTATCACCAATATCCCAACCGCAACAATGTTCGGCTCATACAGTTCCATCAGCTCCATGTGCGCGTCTTCAGCGCCCATGGATATCGCGTCTCGCAACATCTACCGATCCCAGGACTCCGCCTGCGCTTTTCCATCATGGCCCCGACGCGACTCTCTCTCCGAGTCTGATCGAGAGGAACGACCCACCTCTTATCTATCCGACGACGATCTGTTCCTCTCCGATCCCTTCGACGACGACGCCCAGAGCGTCTCCAGCGCCGGCAGCTCTTCTCCTGGTGCCATGGCCTCACCTCCCAACGTCATCACCGACCTCGAGCTTCTCCAGGCTGAGCGCGAACGCCAGGCAGCTTTGCAACGCGAGTGCCTTCGCGTTGTCGCCCTTGAGAAGGAGCGTCGACGTGCCGCCGCACGAAAGCAGCGTCGTAGCAGTTCTCACAAGAAGAGTCCCAAGACCAAGCTCACCTCCATCAATGAGGAGGCGATTGAGTAAACAAGCTCTGGGAACTTCTTAATGACTGTTACGATTTACGATAGCGTATGTTTACATGTTACCTCACAAACAGCAACAATCACTAACAATATTTTAGGCTGCTTTTTGCATTTACATGGCATATGATACCCCATCATGATACCCCACACAACACAACTACAGCATTGCATGTGCCCAAGAATAGCTGCACATGCCAGATTATCTACACTATTCCATCATTTGAGATGGGAAATCTCTTCACACAACCACAACAACCAAACAAGCTGTCACTCGCTATACCGGGCCATCTTATCCAGCTGTCGGATCGACTTCTAACCGCCGGCTTGATTTTCGGGAAACAACTTGACACCACCACTATCTCGGTCGATGACGCCATGGGTAGACCGCCTTAGACCCCAGCAAATCAGAGGTGGGGGTGGGGGTTCACCCAACCAAGAATGAGTCAGATGGATGAGCCAAGCTTTAGAAATGGATGACAACAACAACAATCAACAATCAACAATCAACAATCAAGTCAACCACCATCATTCTTCCATCAATTCCTCAAAGTTTCCGATCGCGGCCGAAATTCATGCCGCCGGGCGGGTGGAAGCTCCCCATCTAGACACCCTTCTCGATGATGTGGATGTTTCTCCGGACCGTCGGCGACTTCGGCCATCTACCGCTCTCTTCTCTTCCCCCGCATGGCGGCCCGGTAAACGGATTCGTCTTCGGTCCATCATTATCCGCTTGTTTCTTTTCTGTTGAGGCTTTTTTTTTATCGAGCCCGACACTTTATCTTTCCCACCTCGGTTCACCGGGCTCATTATCGAGTTTAATCGTTTTTGTTTTCGCACACCCTCTTAATGGAAAGCATTCATGTATTGGAGTTCTTAATATTGCATTGTCTTCGGCTTGCATCATCGTAGGGCATGGGACATTTGGATACGGGTTATGCTTCAGCCTCCCATCACTGGGATGAATCAGCTGGCACACACTTGGCATATGGAATGGGAAACAATAGGGCATTGGCATGGCATAGCATTGGATATGCACACAACACTGCATGGTTTACACGGCGATCTGGGCTTTTAGATACCTTAGGATAGTTTGGCGGCCTTGTGTCTGCCCTGATTTCAAGATACCCCCTTAGTTAGCATCAACAATTATATCTGGCATACACATCTACTCTACATAGCTCTTGTCTTTGATTCATGTGATGTGCCGCCTCTGCTTGTGACTCTTCTCTGGTGCCTAGGCGCTTAGCCCTCTGTATTATTCCCAACCTTGGGTACACTCAAGCGTGGTAACAAGAAAGGGCCACAAGCCAATCTCCTAAAAGCGTGTGCCACAACAAAACCCTATCATCCAATAACCACCTACCATTACCGAAGCACACTTTTCGAGTACCGGCGACAATAGGGACCTATCTATTTTCTAGCCTGGCCCGTGGTAACGTCCCGTGCCGGGGACTTCGAGGTCAAGCTGCTTTGTCACATGGGGCATAACGCCTTAACCGCGGGGTGGTGGAGAGCGGTGAGCGCGTGGGAAGATAGATCGGCGATAAGAGACAAAAGAAAATTCACGTGGTGAGCTTGTGATTTAGAATAGGAGCTTACGATATGCTTTTTTCATGGTTGGGTGTTTGGATAGGAAAGATGATTGTGTAAGGATATCGGTAGTTGGTGATGTGAGTGTCAAAGAATCGTGCACGGTTGGGGATGTTAGTTAGATCGCGGGGAAGACGGCATTTGCTTTGTTTGCTGTGATTTTAAGTTGGTTTGTCCCGTGTGGTTTGATAGGTTAAATGCAAGTTGTATAGATGCTTGTATAGATATAAGTTTTTGTATTGTTGGAGTGTTGTTGTTGGATGTTTGTATACTAACTTTAACTCAGGAACAACAAACACAAAGAGACTACAGACTTTTAACGGGCACTTGGGCCACTTACTTGTAGATCATGTCTTAGACAGTATGCTTATAATTTAGATGCCGCTGAATCTTTGTTTGATAAGGGAGTGTATCGCGCTGGGGATGCCGAAGGCGCGAGGCATGAGATGTGAAACTTACACCAAAGAAGCCAAGATTAGAACTACAACAAAACTTTAACGGTCTAAGCGGGAGTGTCCGAGATGGTATAGGCTATCTGGCTTAGAGTAGCCGAGATAGTACAAACTTGTGTTTGAGCTACCTTTGTTTCAGAGACCATCTCGATGTCCGGCCCTATTGTTCACATTCTAAGGGTATACACAAACGCAGATACCCGTATCTAAGCTTTATATGGCGTGGACTTGAGACATTATAGAGGTATGGGTTTATTCTTTCGTTGTCTGTGTGACAGTCGAGAAGGTGAGAGAAAGTCTTTGGTGATCTCCAGCATACTGCTCGTGGATGACAGGGCTGCCTCGATCGAGATGAACGAATGCATCGTTTCACATAAGAGATTCTTTCAAGAGCTATGGTAATACACTGAAGCTCTTGGATATCCTTTTGTATGACCGTTTGAGAAATCTCTACCGTTTCTTGATATGCTTGATGTAAGTCAGCCCGAGCCCTCGAGGCCGAATCAAGGAACAAGCACAAGTGCACTGCAAAACCTTTAAGAGATGTTAACGAATTGTGAATTGTATATAGAGGTGATTGAATTCGGAAAATCTCACTTCCAACAGCTTGTCACTTGTTCCAGACAGCAAAGGCCAAGCCAACTGAGCAACTATCCTGGAAGGACCACATGAAGCTGCTGCAGGGGAAAGCGGTATACCCTGTGTCCTTAGCACAGGTCCCATGAACTAGTTTTTTGCCTCAATATATTCTAGTGGTCATGGAAGGCTATGTTGGGGTTTCCTTTGTTCATGATGTAGTTCCATAGCTTTGATGGTAGCGAGGCTGCCACATCACGACATCACGACCTCGCCAGAACCTCAGCAACGAAACGGGCTATAGAATGGTTCTAATGTGAGTATCTATATTAATAATTTAATGTCCAATCTTGTTCCTAGATATCATAACTCAATCCCTCAGCTTAAAGTTGTTCATGATCCAGTCCTACGATCACTTGATCTAGCAAGAGAATTCTTTTCACCTGGCACATGGATAGCATAAGTGGCAATTGGCTTTGTATTAATAGATTTCCACGTAATATAGCACTACAATACTAAGGCATCGGGATATTTGCATGATGTTGTAGGGTTATGAGGTAATCTGATCAGGAACCTCATTGTAATCATCATCTTCCCCGCATCATGGATTTGTCAAGCCTTACTCCCTCAACCTCACTACTCACAAGTCAACTCACCACCAGCACCTAGAAAAACACAGGTATGAAAGATTCTGTACTCAGTCTTATAAATATTATATTAAAATTGACATTTACTTAGTTCAGGCATAGCCAAAATGATCAGCGACCAAGATCTCGAGCATCTCCGTCTGGCAGTCTCACTCGCCCAAGAGGCCCTCAAAGCCGGAGACGCCCCTTTCGGTTCAGTCCTCGTATCGTCAGACAACAAAGTCCTTCAAACCGACCGAAACCGCACTGTCACAGGCTCCAACGGCGATGGTCGTGCTGACTCGACGCTCCATCCCGAGTTCACTCTCGCGCGCTGGGCACAGCTCAACCTAAGTGATGAAGAGCGCGCAAGGTCTACTGTATACACGAGCGGTGAGCACTGCGCTATGTGCTCTGCTGCTCATGCGTGGTGTGGGCTTGGAAGGATTGTGTATGTTTCTTCAACGGAGCAGCTGGAGGCTTGGAAGGCTGAGTTTGAAGTTGGGGCGCCGGTTGCGCCGTTGAGCATCAACCAAGTTGCTCCCGGACTCACGGTTGAAGGACCTGTGGAAGAACTGGCCAAGGAGGTTTATCAATTTCACGTTGAGAACTGGACGGGTAAAGGTTTCAGGTCTAAGTCAAAGGCTTGAGGTTGAGATCTTGGTAAAGTGAGATGCAGCGTGGCGTATTTGGCTGGAGTTATACAAATATCTAAGAATGGTTTTATAGCAGAAGCTTGAGATTTACGAGTGTAAAACGAGGCCCTTTCAGAATAATGCTTGATGTGTCATTTGTCTGTGAGCTCGTGATGTGAAACCCATGCGTTGGGTCTTGGGTTGACTTATATGCTCCGTTCCACCAACTCCAGCAAGCAAGAACCAAGTCATAGCTATCAAGAGGCAAAACCGTAAGACATGCTTCAGACCTCTTAGTTGATATGAATCAAATTGAGGTCAACGAAATTGCAGACTGGAATTTTTCGACAAATTGATAAAAATATCTGCCCCAACTCTACACTGCCTACCATCCAATCAGCTTATCCCCTGTGGCTTAGTTGGCTAAAGCGTCCGACTGTTATTCATAGACAATCGGGAGATCGGAAGTTCGAGCCTTCCCGGGGGAGATACGTTCTCTCTGTTTTCATTTTTGTGCCTTTCACCTTTTTGTTTGCTCAGCATTGCCTCTCGACACATACAATTATTTTGTATCGTTGCGGTGGTGTAGTTTGGCTTGGAGTATCAGCTGAGACACGACAGCCATCCGACGAGAGGCATCTCTTCCTTTCTTGCTTTAAAACTTTATAGTAGATTGAATGATGCGAAACTGTTTGAATGAGTTAGTTTAATCTTGAGTTGTAGTTGTAAAGTGCTCCTGGGTATTCTATCCAGAGCGTCATATTCTCAACCTGCCGAGTTAACTGGAGTTCAGCTTAACCAAGAATCATGTCTGTCTACATGTGATGTGAAGCGGAATAGATTATGCTGAAAGCTTATGTTCCGTCTCAAATGTTAATAGTTTTGAGATTCTGATGCTGAATATGAGCAAAACGTAGAACAGGGGGGTCTTTCTCTTATGTCACAAGTGTGTTGCATGTAAACTTTGAGCTTGAACCTGACCGTTATGAAAATATTCATATAGCTGTTCAGAGATCAATGGTAGATCTCCAGTAGGTTGTGAAATGGCCAAGTTGCCATGAATTCTTCCTCCTTCTCTCGTGCATTCTAAGGAGGTTCTGGTCAAGTCTAGTAAAAGCCCTTCTACAGTAAGGTAATATATATATATGCATTACACGACAGACAAGCATGAAACTCTTTCTACAAGTACATTTGAACTAGGAGCTGCATATAAGAGACAAATGGGGTCACGCATCAAGATGGAATCGTGAGCCAAGCATACAAGGCCATCATCATAGCCTATACAGGTACCGTGGACAAGCCTCGTGGACGACAATTCAACAACGTCACCTAGGTCTTAGTCTGAATAGTCTCATGAAATCTTGCTTATCGATATCTCAGTAATAGAATCAGAACTTGCATCACTAGTTTGTATCTCTCATGATACCGCCACTCGCATGCCATGGCTTGTCCTCTCAGTGTCTCCTTGGACATCATCAGCCATCATCGCACTGCAATACTCAAGAGAAGCCCTTTGAAGGCCATGTGTATTTGGTATATAAGCTGTAATAGCTTGCTGGTCTGGTTTAAAGCTTATCGAAAGGCGAGCATCGACCACAAGTCCATCTCATAGACTGATTTCGGCCAACAACAGCGCTTCTCTTCAGCGTAAAGACCTACACAAGACCCTACCATACTGTTAAAAGAGCCAGAGTAACTAGGATAAAATAGAGTAGTTTATAGAATAGTGGAAGACTATCTTGTGTCTAGGCCTGGACGTGGCTGAAAGACATCTGCCTCTACCGACGTAACTCCTCGTTATTTAAGGTATGAATGCAGCTACCACGCAGAATCTCTTGAGACAAGATACTAAGATAACTGTAATACTTGGTCTGTCATATGATTTGGGCTGAGAATCCAGGAGGTGTTTCAGAGCATTTGGGAGGGAGACACTTCAAGAAGCCTCTTGAGCAGGTCTCAACTCTGGACTATGAATTGCGATAGAGGTGTTAGATAGCATTCAACAAATGAATATGCTGATGAGTTGTGGCCGAATACCAAATTATTAGATATCCGGACTTCTACAGCCCACAAATCAGTTTCCATAGTCAAAACTGGGCAGATGGTGAAGGCCGCTTTGGGCAATAGCCAAACTGTACATCAACACCAATATTTGTCAAAAGCGATATATACCCAACAAGACGAGAACAATCAAATGTGTCCGCAATTGGCAGTCGATAACTAGCCACTTGGTGCGCATCATGAGAGCTTTGAACATGATCTGACCTTGCCCAGGTGACGACGGACCTCCAACCAACAACTTCGATCATCCGGATAAAAGGACCATGATACCCAAGACCAAATGAGCTCAATCTATATACTCAATCAAGAGTTGACAACTATACTGCAGATGCATAAAGACCCAAAGAGACTGGGAGTATGATCCGACATCAAGCCTCAGTCTCGGGTATCTTATGATCCACATCCCTCTCGAGGATCAATTCCACTTACACGATTTGCAAAACGATTTGTCTCCGACCCCGAGAACTAAATCGGAGACAATAAGTTGACAATGGCCGATGTCGAACGCCCGCTATCGTGAGCTGGTTCTCGTATCGATTCATTGCATATTCACATTTCTCAGCCTCTGATGGGCTCAGATCGAGGCTGGAATCCTCTTGGCACCCGCATTCCTTTCATGCACAATGTCGAATATCGAATGCCCCGCGGAGCCGGCTTCATTCCAATTGGGTCATGATCGAGACAAGTGAGATCTAAATATTGGCCCCTTTCAACGCCCTGTAATTCTTTAGTGGATAATTGTATGCATTGTCAAAATACCCCGTTGAGGGGCCACTCGAAACCGTTGGCTTTCAGTTATTGAATCCCATCCAACGCTTGGAAATGGGTCAATTGGGTCTGATTGCGGGGAAGCCTGAAGCCACGCGAGTTGATGGTTGGCGATGCAAGGGATTTCACTCACACAACTTCCAACGTTACTGTGCTCGGTGTGCCAGCCTTACGTTGCAGTTATGGAAAGTGATTGAATTCGACTGAAATGTGATGAGAGCCGTGACCCTTGGAAGAAAGCAGTGAGACACAAGAACGTGGCCGAGCCTTTTGGGTAAACCCAAGGATTTGGTAGACCCAGACCCTGCAATGCGTGAGCGTTGATCTCCAACTTATCACATCTGTAAGTCAGCTGAAAGTGATCAACAATAACGAGAGAGCAACGTTGACTTGTCAACAAAACTCAGAGAGAGATGGTGTAAACTCCACTTCACAACCGTGGACTGTTTTAGCATGAAGATTCTAGACGACTCTCGAGCTAAAAGGAAAGCGAACTTGCAACTTGGTAGGGCCTCCTATTTCGAGTTTGCCCAGTACATAACATTTCAATATCAAGTTTTCGTATGTCAAACTTTCGCAATTCTTGAGCCAAAAGTTTAGTCAAGCTCGAATCATTATGCGCCTGATTGAATGTCACTCAAATATAAGTGTGTTCCAGTGGGCCGAAACCATTCGGACAGTTGAAATGTCCAGATTGATATCTCGGCAAATAAGTGCGCAAGGCTTTGATCCCATAGCGGGGCCTTGCTACCAATCACGTATGAAGTCGCATATATAAATCTTACATGCTGGTTTTGTCCCTGGGTCGATCCGATGAAGAAAGGCGGCCGACACTGCGACCATAAGAAAGACCGTTGGACTCGGAGTCTTTTATCAAGTGGCGTTATCAAGATGTGATAGTCACCACCCATCAGCCTGGCCGCGGTTTGGGCCGCAGGTAATAGCATGGAATCGTATTAATACCCCAGTTGGCATATCGAATGTGTGAAAGCAGAGACCGGAAGCCCCGCGGCCGAGAAAAATGTCCTCAACCAGGACCAGCATGTTACGGTCAACAGGGGAAATGAAATATGATGAGGAATTCACAAGCCAGTGCACAGACCTAAGATTCTCTGAAGAAGTGAGTTGTGAGTAACTCAGAAAAGTTGTAGCTTTGACTTGGGTAGGACCGCTTGAACGAGCTGCAGGCGCAAGGTGCAGCAACAGCAAAAGAAGCAAAGAAAAGGCAAGGGAGTTTGAATGTCTCTCAGATCAAGTGCCTGCAGCAATCCGTGCCCAGACAGCGACCTAGGTTGCACAAAAACGCAGCTTGTGCGAGGCTGCAGCAGAGCCTGAGAAGACTGGAGACCACCGTGGGGTAACTTGGGTTATGAGTTCTGAGGCCAGACAAGCCAAGCGAAGCTCCGGGATAACGAAATTGCGTAGGTTGTCGGCTGGCAAAAGTTCTTGCACTTGGTCAGTGGCGTTGAGGCCCAGTCGTGTTTGAATACTAAGTGTGTGCAGCAGAATAGTATGTATTTGCGGAGAAGTCCACTTGCATCGTAACTACCTATCTGCACATCAACAAGATAGGATCTTGGGCAGTAAAACATCAAGCTGTAATCCAACAACTGATAAATACGTGGTTGATGCTCGAATGCATTTGACAATGATTCGATGTTCAGGATCCTTCGCATGCACGTCTTTGAGGTCGAAATCAGTGATCAATTCACTGGTCATGCTGTACTTGGCCTGCAGGAAACTATAGAAGTTGAACCTGTACAGCGGAAGCGAGTAAAACGAGGCGAACCGACTCAATAAGAAAAGGCACCGTGACAGTGGACAGCATTTTCTGCAAACGCCTGTTCTTAGCCGAGCGGTTGATAAGCAAGGTATCGATAGGTGGAGGCGCTTGTTGGACTCGAGACGCCGTGCCCAGAGAGGAACTGGAAATGCCAAGGTTATGACAGGGAGGTTGCCTGTCGGTCAGCGATGCTAAGTCTGGATAAGCAAGGTCTCAGCCACATGTTTCCGAGACAAACGTCGGAAGGAAGGCTTTATACTGGCTTGAATTAAGCAGAGAGACGGTTTGCGTCTTTTATCAGCGAGAATCGGCCGGTTGTGGATGCTGGCGTGTAAGTGATGTTCATGTACAGCTCTCAGGCACAAGGGGTAATGATGGTATCACTGCCTGTATCCGTATTTGCAGTTTGAAGGCTGTTGATATCCATGTTCTCAGGTGAATTCTTAGCGCAGTTTTTGTCTTGACCCCCAGATTGACTCAGTCGATCTGAAAGACAAGTGAGGGAGCCAATTCAACGGTCAAGACCCTGTTCGTTAGACCGATGCGTTGGTACTGTACCCATCTTGAGTCACAATCCCCAGTTGCCAACTAAAGAGCAAGGTGACGTGTATG